CTGGGTTCTCTCCAGCAGTTCTTTCCTGAAGCCTTAGCGCTCCAGCTGTGGATTTGCACTGCTGAACAAAGCAGAAGGAAAATCCCATGGGCCTGTAACTTTTCAAGCTTTGAGAGAAAATTTGCCATCTGCAAATTTAGAATTAGTTGGGTTTTACTCTTCTGCTCATTATCCTCTTGATGTTTATAAAAAGCTTGTTGGACTCCTGGTCCTGTTGTTTTTATATAACTGAAGCTAAGATGAAGTTGTTCACAAACTAAAAATAAAATGTATTCTTAAAAGTGTAATTTACCACTTCAACACCCCAAATCTTTAACTCAATAATTAAGATTTTTCTGAAAGACCTGTTTTAGAAATCTTGGGCTGGTTGTAAGAATTATTTGGTAGCCTTTTGCAGCTATTCATAGCCAGAAGATCAACTACACTGGTGCTTTGTCACCTGCAAATTCTTGCAGGCGCCATTGCAGGTTATCCCAAAAATATCTGTGCTTGATCCCCTTCAAGCAGACGGAATTTAGATGACTGGGGAGATGTAATTGTTTTTTCTCAGACATCTCTCAGAACCAAAGCATGTTTCCAGTCTTTCTCATGTTCCTACACCAAAACCTGCAGAGTATTAATCCTCTGCTTGTGGCTATGTGTATATCTAAGGGATACCTCAGTGAGGGCACCGTTCAGCACCTGTACATTGAAATTCAAGAGAGTAAATTAATTGAACAGAGAAAATGGTTTAACTTTTGCAGGATGTTGTAAATTAAGACTCAGCTCTGATGACTCTTGAAAGAAAATATTTCCATGTTAGTTCATTGTGCAAGTATTGAAGGATATGAAACATATCAAGGCCTTAAATCTGCACTTGTCCTACACTCCTGTGAAGAGCTATTGATCTCAGTTGTTGGTCTGCAAGCAGCAACTTTCTGGGCAAGTCCAGGTTTGCTTTGCTCATAAAGTGAAGGCATAAGAGAATGTTTTATGCAAGCAAAGAAATCATTCCCTTCATAAGAAGTTGCAGACTCTCATTTGGTTTTAGTTAAATTCGCTGGTCTGATCAGCTCTGACAATAGCTATCCTTGTTTCTCTGAGTTTTTAACGTAACTTTTCAAGTTACTCTACCAAGTGAACATAATGAAAGTAAGTCATATCTTGCGCCTCATGAAGCTGTGTTGAATGGATTGGCTATAAAATGTATTTATAAAATCCAGCATTGTCCCTAATAGTTTCTCCATTCCTAAATGTAACATTGCATTGTTTGAGGGGGGAACATACCTCCATCATGCATAGAAAAAGTGTCTTAATAACTGCATGAGAAAACCAGATATACTTAGAATTAGCTTAACTGGAGAGAGTAGGCAGCAACTGCAAGAAAGATGCATTCAGGTTTGCAACTAAAAGAGCTCTATGCACAGGGGAAGCTCTGAAGTGAGACCTCCTAAACTGCAGCAGTGTGCTTTATGCAATCTTAGAAAGTACAAAAGGGTTGGCCAAAAATCTGGGGGGGTTTGGGGTGGTTTTTTGGTTGGTTTTCTGGGTAGTGTTGAGGTGTTTTAATTTTGTTAACAGAAGGTACAAGCATGAAATTGGTTCTCTAAAAGTTAACATGATAAAAAGCAAATACAGAACTCTTCAACTTGATCTGTCGCGTGCAAGCTCTGGTTTGGGGGGGTGGGATGGGTGGGGTTAATTGCCTCCAGGAGATTAACTCTTCCTCCACTGAAAATTGATGTTGCAAAATTTGGAGTTTGCTGATATATAAGGAAGGCTTGCTTTTTTTAATTCTTATTTTTCCTTTTTTATAAATTTAAATTGGACTGTAAATCCACATTTTTCACATGAGATTTATAGCTCATTAGAAATGTGCAACAAAGCTCATCTATTGACAGCTTGCTTTATTTTTGATAATCACATTGAACTCCAGCATAACAGGTCTGAAATTTTTCATCACAGTTGGGTCCTTAGAATTCAAGCTAAGGAGGAGGTGGAAGTGCCTTTTGATACATAGAGCCGAGCTGGAAGTGATTAACTGAGTAGCTCATTATTTTCCTGAAATAAGAGGGAGCCATTTAGTGGCTGGAATACAAGGTTTTTTGCTCCTTGGTCCTTTAGCTTGATCTGCAGTGTCAGCATTTACCAAAATGGAAATCACTAAAAGCAACCTTTAGTACATGAAAGGATTTTTTTTTTTTTTTTTTTTTTTTTTTTTTTTTTTTTACAGCAGGTTGCTCCCCACCTCTATCGTACAGATGTTCTGGAAGGAACACTTGGTTGTCTTACATTTTAGAGGCTGGAATAGTAGCTACTAATGCCTCAAGATGATATCCAAGTAGGTAAAAAAGAATGGGAAGAGAGATAGCACATTAGTGAAAATTCACCAGTAAACACAATGCAAGATCTAACATGAATATCAAGTAACATTAATTACTTTAGAGCCTCTCTGTTTTCCTCATGTGCATTTTAATTATTATTCCAGCATAATGTAATAACAAGGGCTGGTTTATAGGACGATAATAAGGCTTGAGGCTATGACTGTGGCAGATTTTGTAAGCAGAGGGTGGTTGGGCTAAGCGAAAGATGCCCGTGGCTGTGCTGCACATTGCATGGCCAGGGTCGGGGAGGGGAAGGATTTCCTCCCTGAGTCACCTTTGAAGAACTGACCCAGTAAACAGTCCTGCTCAATGCTGTCTTCTGGTGAAATGCTAAACTGTGGTCTCGATCATGTGAGGTCAATAAAATCTCCAGCAGCCATTTTCCCCTGCACCGCGGCAGTAAAACTGACACACCACACCTCCCCCCCCAATTATTCCAGTCAACATTCAATTACCTCTCATTTACCTAAAATTCCCCCTGTATTTGAAGGCTTAAGTGGACATGATTGTTTCTGTCAGTTCTTTCCCAGTATTGCTGTGTTTATGTTTTGGCTAAACCTTGCCTTCAAGGTTCAAATCTTGTAAGGATTGAATCAACCCTTCAACCTTCTGAGAATTATGAAGGATGGTGTTTCACTATTTTACAAAGGTTTACATCTCTCTCTTTGTGATGAGACTTTAAAAATTTTGTGATGAGACTTCAAAAATTTTGTACATTTTGGATTTCCCAGACCGTAAGTGGTATATTTGGCCAGGCTTCCCACCCACTTATCATTTGTGTGTGGTTCCCTGTGAATCCATCTGCTCCCTCATTATCAGTTATTAAAAGGTGTTTGAGACACTGATTAGCCTTGAGATTACTGGTGGGTAGGCACTAACATTTTTATAAGCTGTGCTGAAATGTTCAAACAAATGTGAAGCTAAGAAATGCCTCTTTGTAGAAACAGACATGCACGTTAAGGAAAATAAAGTTCTTGGGAGTCCATTTTGCATGTGCTGATTCCTCCGAGCTCCTGTTAGAGCCTGGAGAAGTGGAAATACCCCATACTTTAGATGTCAGACCGGTAACGTTGGTTAGCAAGACTGAGAGACTACTCCCAGTTTCCCCAGTTTTAGCTCTGTTTTTTTGCAAGGCACCATAGCCTCCGAGGGACCGGACTATCAGGTTTTGGTTATCTCTAGGGATTGGTTGATTGGTTAGTTTGGGTGAGGGCTGCTGTAAATATTTCTCCTCTCAGGGAGTTCTCCAGCCCAAAGGTGTTTCATCAGAGCTGTCACAGCCTCCGATGTACAGCCTCCCCTTCTTTTTCTGAGACCCCATTGAGAGGCGTATCAGCGTGAGGACGGAGGTGTGCAGAAGGGGAAGCCCCTTTCTTCTGCGTGCGGAAAGGGCCTGCTCTCCTCTCCCCCAGCAGAATAAGAATGTTACAGTTTAGGGGGTTTTGAGTGTTTAGCCAACTAACTGGATTTTTAAGTGCTTGTGCGGCTCATGCATGCATGTTTGAACACTCCCATCCACTTAGATCGGTTAGAGTCACCAAACTTCTTCATTTTTCAAAATAAAACTGCATTATGCCTAGACATGTTGAGCCAAATCTGTTCCTGGTGTTATTTCACTGACTTCCCGAAGAATTACACCAGAGATGAATTTGGTCTGGTATAGCAGCTTTTTTGCCTGGAGCAAGTCTTTATAGCAGAGTTGTATTTCTCTCAAAAATATAAAAGGAACACTGACAGATCTGCAGCTCTGGTGGTGTGAGCAGGTGCAGCTATATTAAATTATTTCTTATTAAATTGATTCAGCAACTTGAAGCTTGTAATTTTTGTTCTGCTATGGTTCTGTGACAGAGACCTTTTAAAACAGGCAAAGCATATATCTTTTCCTGTAATTCCTTTCTCTTGTATTATCGTTTTAAAGATTTCTGTTTGTATGTAGCTCAGATTCTGATTGTATTATTTATTTGGGGAAGATGTGAAAATTACAGCCTTTTCCAGTTAATCACATTGAGCTGTGTCATCACTAGCGTAATTCCATTTACTCCACTGACATCCGGATGAATGTGAACAATAGTTTCTGCTTTTGTTTTTAGGTTTAAGTGGTTTTAGGCTCTGGTGGTCACTGTGGCAGAAATTGGTGTGCTTCCCTTCCAGGCAGTGGAAGTATGCTGATTTACCCCTGCCTGAGGATCTGGCTCAGTATTTTAAGGGTGCCGGATAAAACGTGTCATGTGCTGCAGAGTTTTCCCCAGTATTAAGCCCCATTTTGTCTATCTGTAAAAACTAACCTGATGCTCTATGCCTTCATGTAATTGCATACAGAAAATGTGGTAAAGAGTTCTCCTTCTGACAACCTTATCACTCCACCTCTGCTGATTTGAGGTAGAACGGTTATTCATTTTTTACTTTTCCTGTGTGCCTCCCATGCTTGTGGTATGCCATTACTGCTCAGCTGCTGTTAACTTAGTATCAGAAATAGATGGAAATGTTTGCCTGAAGTTCCATGTCTTTAATGCCTTTTGGGGTTGTTTGTTTGTTTGTTTTGTAGGTTTATTTCCTTTAAGACTCCAAGCTTAGGCTTGGAGACCCCAGCCATCACCATTGAGCCCAGCAGCTGGAGCGGCAGGGGGGGGCCCGAGAATGAGTGATTCTGCAGATAAACCTATTGACAATGATGCAGAAGGTGTCTGGAGCCCTGACATTGAACAGAGCTTTCAGGAGGCTCTAGCTATCTATCCACCATGTGGGAGGAGGAAAATCATCTTATCAGATGAAGGCAAAATGTATGGTAAGTGGTACACATTTAGCCTTTGGAAATAATTGTCCCAATGAGAACCATAAAGCCCAGCTTGTTTTTATGCAACATCCCTGATTTTGGTAGTTTTGGAGTAAATCTTGAAGAAATCTGTGAAGTTGAGGGACCTCAGCTGGGCGGTTGCATTGCTCAGAACTGTCCGAACCAGTCCCTTCACCACTGGCACTAGGAAGCAATATTGTTGCAGAATTGTGTCTTTAATGAATGCTACGCTGTGGCCAAATGGGAATATTTAAAAAAAGCTTTTAAATGTGTGACTCCTTGAGCATAAAAAAAAGTAAGCGTTTTTCTTTATTTTTCAATAAATGGTGAAGAAAGGGAAATGGGAAACACAGTCTGTGTGACTGTGTGGCAGGATACGTGATATTAAATGGCAAAGTGATAAAGTTCTTGTCGTGTTCAGAAGCCTCTCGATGAAAGAGGCAAGTTAGGGGTGCTTTTGTGCCTTTCTTTTTCTTTTTTTTTTTTTTTCCCTTTCCCCTTCCCTCCCTGCAAACTGCTATAAATCAGATGACGTGCTGACAGCATTCCATAAATACATGCTCCGCCGAGGGATACTGACATCTGCACGCACTTTCTGGGGCTCCTGAGCTTTCGCCCCACTGTCCCAGCTCTCTCACCCCGTCGCTTTTTCTATTCCATTTTGCAAACTTCTCTTTGCGGGCGATGGGGCCCTTGGGGGAGTATGCTTTCAGGGGACCTTGCCCCTACCTGGCTGGGCTGGAGGCAGAGGAAGGGGCGGGGAGGGGAGCGGCCCCGGCCGCCCCTCGCAGCTGCCAAGTGACCCTGGCGGCCACACGAAACGCCGTGTCTGGAAAAAGAGAGTTGTGATGAAGCATCTCAGCTGCCCTTGGCAGAAAGTTGCCGGCCCCTGGTTTCCTGGCTGGGTGTTTGCTTTTTTTTGCTCTCTCTTCCTCCCCCCCCACCTTCTCGCCCTGCACAGGGGAATATAATTTCTCTTGTCCTCTCCTTCTCGCCTGTTTCCGCCTGTTTTGATTGCGTTTTGGTGTTGCTACTTTCCTTTGGAAAGGGGAGATGATTTGCTTAATTAGAAAGTGGTGCTCTTCCTAGGAGGACATAAGCATGTATATACAAACAAGCTTATTGCATATTTATGCTCAAAAGCTCTACTTAGGCTTGAACAGCCTCATCAGCCAAAATAAGGGTGGCTGCATTTTTTAAAATTGGGAACCCTGCAACCACAGCAATCACCCCCGAAATCTGATTTTTGCTCTTTTGAAGCATTCTTTGTGCCGTTGTATAAATTAAAGAAATTAACATATTTATCTATTCATTTTGACAATCACTGATTTAATTTAATGGTTCTCTAATCCTGAATGTTAACATTTGTTGAATTATATACAGAGAAAACTATCTATGCATATCTAATTGCTGATTAATACTGCTAGCTAGTAATACCATAAGCATATATGCACATCTCATATTCTTATGCTCATCCTAAATGAAATATTGTTTATTTTCAATCAAAACAGGAGGTATGCATGTTTGATGCTGAGAACTTGAGTTAAAGTGTTGCCCTGATTGGGACGAAAAAAAAAGTCTTAGGAAGTGCAGGGTGCTGTATGAACAGAATTCACATCCTGACTTTGCAGTGGATGAACTCATGTTTTCATTCTTCAGGCTGAGTAACTGCTTTGTAGTGTTTGAGGATTTATTGAAACCATGCTAGGTTTCTGAGGACTTTCTAATAGAGTCTTATGGCCCTGAGAGCATAATTGTTCTCCAAGGATTTTGAAATCAAAACAGTGTAAGTGTTTTAGATTCTGTGTGGCATAATGAAAATAATTTAATGCCTTTTAGTGGCATACCAAGCTTATTTCACTTACAAGAGAGACATTGCAATATCTCTAAGCTTCCATAGTGTTGGAGGATATTGTAATGTGTCAGTAATTCATGAACCATGTAAGACAAAAGGTCAAGAGAGCACCATTTCATTTTCTGACTGAAATTACCTTTAGATATAGACACTAGAACAAATATGATCTTTATGGAGGCAAATATAATGATCACTCTGTGTGGATTAAGTTAAGCAATTGTAGTTTTTTATCTTTGGAGAGAGACTTTGAGAAGCACAGAGATTTTGCTTGAAGAAATATTTTAAGTCTGCCTTTGATTTAATGAGAGCTTTGCGACATTCATGTAAGCAGAAGCCAGAGTTTCTTCACTGTTCTTTGTGGTGGTCTGAAATTGTCCTTAAAAGTGGCGTTTCTGGGAGGGCTCCTGGGCGGTTGGCTCGGGGGGACCTGGAGGATTGCTCGAGCAGGGCTGGGGGGGCTTAGGATCCAGGGGGTGTGCGGGGTGGGTGGCCGAAAAAACTGTTCCTCTACAGTTGTGGTCTTGGATGAAGGAGGGAAAGGAAGGGGGCGGCCTTTTCCTGTCCCCTTGCCTTCCCAAAAAAGTAACTTACGGCACCAGAGGACTATGAAGGACTACAAGAACAAAAGGCTTTCGATCCTACCCCCACTGAAAAGGGTTGCAGGGCCCTGTGGCTGGGGAGGGGGAGGGGGATGTCTTGACATTTTTTGGCCCTGGGGCATCCTTGGGTTGTAAGGACAAAGTCATGATCTGTGCAAGACCAGGAACATTTCAGGCTGCTGCTGACCCTGCCACCAGTACAGGGTTATGGCTTCTTGAAGAAACTCTCAGAAAACAAAACAAAAACTTAATGAAACTCTTGTTTTTACATTTATAGGAAATGATTGGGTAAGAAGCAAAGACCCTTGGTTTGGTTCAGAGGGGCAAATTCTAGGAACAGTAGTTTGGACATTCATGAGAGAAAGGGAGTGTGCATAAGGCCAAGGGACCAGTGATAAGGTTTCTGCAGGAAAGCACTATCCATTGCTTCTTTTCCCCCCTTCCTTTGTGTGTGTGCTTGTGCAGCTGTGATGGTCTTACAGTTTTGGTTTCACTCCTAGTACGGTATTGACTGGTGGTAAATAAAATAAAAAAAAAAAGTGAGGAGGGAATAAATATGAAAGCTTGAAGGAGGATATAGGAACACGTCTATAAATTGATGCTCACACTCTTTGTGGAAGCAGTTGAGTGTAGTCCATGGAGGAAAGGCTTGACTCCTAGACCCATTTTCTATTGTCTTGCACGGTACTGGTAAGAATTTTTTTCATCTGTACCATTTCAAAACAAGTATTGATAAAACACAAATATCATCCACTAGTAGAAAGTGGGACAGCCTATAATTTGCCTCCCCTCTCGGAGATCAATTCCGATGCATTTCTGTGTCCGTGCTTATCTAGCACATAGTAAAGCTCTAGCCCATTAGAGGGCATTGGCTGTCCTGTGTTTGTACTTGGTTCCAATTGTTGGTCTTTTACTGCTGACAGTTTAGTTACTTGTAGCAATTCCTGTGAACTCACTTATTGGCAGGATATTTGCCTGTGCTTGTCTTTGCTCCTGGGAGAGTGTTTTGGAAAAGATTACAAGAATGAAAGCTGCTGTGAAATGCAGCCCTGCTTTTATCCCTGGTGTAACACTGAAGTCACTGGAGTTACCACGGGAATGGATTTGGCCCTATGTGCATGTTTTCATCTTTTTTTTGATATTTAGCTATAGCGAAATGTAGCTTTAGTGCAGCTGTAGGGACAATGCCAAAGTAACGTAAGTCGCTAGCAAGCGTAGTAATGCCTGCAGACACGTTACTCTCAGCTTTGCTAACTTAGCCCCAAGGGAGCAAAGGTGGCTCTTGCCTTTAAGACAAGAAAATATTTTGATCTTAATTTTTGAGACCTGTAAACAGCTCTTCAATTACGAATTAAATTAGTAATTGTGATTTGCATTGGAAGTATTCATCTCTGCAACAAAACTATTTGAGAGTGTATTAATGATTATTTCAAAAGGAAGTTTTGTAGCATGTTTAGTTGTTTTACAGAGAAAAATGAGTACTAATTAACATGAGAAGGTGCATAGCAGCCTTTCAAAACGGTTGTATACGTTTATTAGGTCATGCATAAAATCTCTTGGCCTGCATTACCATGACAGTAAAGGGAAAATGATACTTTCATAAAAATTTCTGCTCAGATGATAGAATTTTTGCACGATGAGTAATAATAGTCTTCATTTCCAAAGCACCTTGTATAAACTGAATATTAAAATCAAACTTTGAACTAGTGCATCCTATCCTGTAGGCTTGTGTGATTCTGTAGCTAACTGCTATTATTAGGTGCCTTTCTGGGTTCCTATTAGGAAACTGCAAGGTAACTCACTTTATGAAGAATACAGCAACATGTTACAAATTATTTTTACTATTGCTTTTATTTTTAAAAGTTCCATGCAAGTTACTGCCTCTATAAAGACATCACTACCCTATAAAGTTTCCACAGTATTAAATATATTTGAATGCGAATAAGGTATTTGGAGTGATGAAATACCAGATGTGAAGTATCAGGTTGCATGTTTATTCATCTGTTATTGCAATCATTGTACAAAGATATGCTCTTGTATTTTTTTTTTTTCCTTTTTGGTCTCACAGCAACATACATAAAATGCACTGGAGATAGGACTGCTATTATGAAAGTTACTATTTGGGTTTCTTAGATTGTAAACAAATCTGTCTAGAAACATTCTTGCAATCCTGTGACTGTTCACTGTATTACGTCAGGGCACAGGGCATGCATGAAGGCAAGCTACAAGCATGTGCTGAGCAATCAGTCAAAAGTGAAGAAAATGAAGGTCCAAAGATACAGTGTCTGCTTGAAAAGTTACTACTGAAATTACTCAGAATATGAACAAATCTGCCTTTAAACACTTTTGCAGTCTGGTGATGTTCTTGCAACATCAGCATGCTGTGCTTGCAAGAAGGCGATCTGGTTTTGTGAGCTGAGCTGTCATTAGAAATGAAGGGTATTGGGCTTATATGTTGTGGAGGACTTCTGAAATGTGGGGGAACAGGGTTTACTCTTTCTATTTGGACTTTCAAGAGTAAATTATCGATGGTTTGG